GAATACCCATCTATATGTAGCTATAACTGATTTTAATGAGTAAAAAATACTGTGTGCTCTGGTTTTCATGGCAAGATGTTGAGAACATGCAAACAGCTTTCACTAGTTCTTATAGAAAAGTTTCTTGGAACAGAGAGACACTTGAAAATAAACCCTTCATGGTTTGAAAAGAAATGTATGTTTTCTTTTTTTTTTCTTTTGACAGAAGAGTAGCAGCTCTGAATCCTTAAGTGATAAAGGCTCTGCTGAACTGAAGAAAAGCTTTGATGCAGTGGTATTTGATGTTCTGAAGGTCACACCAGAAGAATATGCTGTAAGCAATCAAGTTAACTTTTGTGGCAATGTTTTCACTTTTGACTGCTGCTGTTCACAACCTTATTTCTCCCCATCTTCCACCCATAGGTGTTCAAAAAGAGTCCCTCTTTGGTTCTTTCATTACATATTCTGTTTGTCTTAGAAAAGCTCCTTTGGGCTAGTTTGCCGCCTAGCCTGTTTGTATTAAATCTCAGAGTCTTCTTTGGGTGATGTGGGTGCTCCATGCAAGGTGTAGGGATGTCCTGGAGCTATGGAGTGGATTTTTTTTTTTTTTTTAGCGGTTGTCTGCGGGCCGCACGTGTACGAAGGGAGCCTTGCTGCTGTGCTCAGTTTGGTGCTTCGTGTGCGTGGCCCACCCCCTCTTCAGTTCCTCTTCTACCGTCCTCAGTCATGGACGGAGCTCTTCATACTCCTTGGCTTCTCCTCAGGGGGAGTGAAAAACCTTTTGGATTCTCTTCCCCTACTTCTCCTTTGCATTCTTTATATTGCATTTCATACTGTACATCTGAAAAAAAAATGTCAGTCTCCCTCCCTCATTATACCTTTTTTTTTTTAAACACAATAGCTTCAAATGACAATAATGGATATAGGGGCAACCTCCAATGTAATGCTCACTACGACCCTGACAGTGCAATGCCGGGATCATCTGGCTTTGAAAAATGTCAGTCGTGCCAGGAGCCAATGCTACAAACATGCAGACTGTATCTGCTGCCTCGGGGAAGCGCATGTACCCCAAAAATGTGAGCTCTGTTGCTCTCACAGCGAGAGCAAGAAGGGACAGGGAGCTGTGGCACTGCATGATTTTATTTGACAAGGCGATGCAGCCTGAGTGCTCTCAAGCCTCTCTACTGGCAGCACAGCTTTCAAGAAAGAGAGCCGCCTCACCATCACCTCACAAGCGATCTAAGAAGGGGCCATCCTAATCAAAGTCTCTACCCCAACTCCATTTCTCCACTCCTCTCCTCTCCCCCCGAGTGCCTGGAGGAGACCAGATGAGCACCGAGTACTTGAACCAGCACCATGACCTCCACGTCGTGTTCAGCCTCGGTGCCAATGAGAGCATCGTCGGCACCAGAAGAGCTCTCGCTGGTGCTCCCGCACATCGGTGCTGGCACTATATTGAGAAATGCGGTACTGAGATCCGTGCCACCACCAGACAAGCAGTCCTCCCACAAGAGACTGCCTTTGAACATAAGCCCCTCAATACCTAACTCAATGCCGCCCCCCCCCCCCCACCGGGGCCCCCACCCAGCCCCAGGGAA